CCCCGCTCCGCGCCGCTGTCCCCGCTCCGCGCCGCTGTCCCCGCTCCGTGCCGCTGTCCCCGCTCCGTGCCGGGCCCCGCTCCGTGTCGCTGTCCCCGCTCCGTGCCGCTGTCCCCGCTCCGTGTCGGGCCCCGCTCCGTGCCGCTGTCCCCGCGGGCATGGAGCTGCCGTGGCTGGGCCAGCACTGCTCCGAGCGCACCTGCAAGCAGCTGGGTGAGTGCGGGCCCGCACGGTGCCGCGCTGGCCCCGGGGCTGTCCGGGGGTAGTGGCGACACCAGAGCTGCTGCTCTGCTCCCCCCTCGGTGCGGATAGGGAAAGAGCGATAGCTGCTGTTCCTGCGCGTGTTAAGTTGCTCAGGAATGGTTTTCAAGGTTAAAAGAATTCCTGAAACTGGGCTTTGCGTTTGTACTTCAGCTCTAAGCTCCTGACTAATTGCTCACTGAGGTTTCTGCATTCGAGGAGCTCCTGACGTGCTTATGGCTTGTGTTTGTCTTACGCTGGGGATAAAAAGAGGAAAACTTACCACTCTTGCTCTTTTAGTTTTAATATTTCTGAAGAACGGTCTAATCTCTATAGAGATAATTGGATTGCAACTCGACAAAACTGCTTGAGAATTTATTTGTAGACTTCTGTGAGTACTCTTAGAGTTGTTAGCTTTGTTCCATAAAAATGTTTTCTCCTTTATTCTTCTCCCAGATTTCCTTCCTCTGAAATGTGATGCATGTGGGGAAGTCTTCTGTAAAGATCACATCCGTTACGATGAGCACAAGTGCAGCTCTGCCTACAAGAAAGTGAGTTCTGCCTGACGTCACCTACAGAATTCAGCTGAATTATGCCAAGTCATTGAATTGCTAAGTCATTTATAAGGGCTGCTCTGAAACTTCACCTGTGGTTTCAATAAAAGTGGATGGGAGAGCCTCAAGATGCAAGTTAATGATACATCTGGATTTCAAATATATAGAAACATGACATTTCAGAGGCCAGAACTGCTAGATTCTAGGTTTTTTTCATTTATAGTGCATTTTTCAGAGAGGAGTGCTTTATATTTCAAGTAATGTATTGTGGTTTAAAATTTTCTGGGGTCCAAGTCCTGTAAGTTGAAGAACATCAAACTTGAAACTACTGAAGAAGTAAATAGAACAAGTGGGTCCAAACTTTGATCTCTGGCCTGTACTTGGGCTTTGAAGTATTCAAAGGCTGTAATTCCAGAAAAGCCAAAAGGATATTTAAAGTCAAGTTACCAAATACATTGCTACTAATTGGTTTGGCAAAGCATTTCTGTGTGGTTTTTGGATGGGGATTTGCAGTTACGGTTGTGAAGTGTATCTTTAAAAGCATTAGCAAAATAGGAACATGAAATATTTAGGAATATATTTCTATTATCTATGGGTAAGAGAAGGGGAAGGACACAAAAATAGGGTTGGACTTGATTATCTTAAAGGTCTATTTCAATCTAAACAGTTGTTTAATTCTGTGATGCTGATGTGTGCTGTGTATTCTTAGAATGTGCAGGTCCCAGTGTGTCCCCTCTGTAACACTCCTATCCCAGTGCAGAAGGGAGAAATCCCAGATATTGTGGTTGGAGCCCACATGGATAAGGACTGCAAATACAATCCAGCACAGCAAAAGCAGAAGGTAAGAAAACTGCTGCTGAAGTCTAAGCTGCCTTCCTGTGCCTTCAGTTTGGTCATGGCTCACAGAAAGCAAACACAGCCAACTTCCTGTCCTCTCTTACTCAGATCTTCACAAACAAATGCACCAAGCCAGGCTGCAAAAGAAAAGAGATGATGAAGGTGGTTTGTGAACAGTGTGGTGGCAGCTTCTGCATAAAACATCGGCATCCTCTGGATCACGACTGCAGAGGGAGCAGCCAGCCCATCTCCAAGGCAGGGTGAGCTGGACTGGGAATGTTTCAGCTCAAGATGGGATCTCAGGGCTGGTATCAAGGCTTGGTGGGGAGCTTGGACTGACAGGGAATTCTGGAAACTACTGGTCATGTCAATAAAGTAACCATGATTTCCTCTTGCATCTCAGGCTGAATTTCTGGAATGTCAGCCTTAATTTCTGAGCCAAGAGAAAAAGCTTGTTAAATGTTATCCTGATTTTTCAAGCTTACCTGCATCAGTCTCTCCCAATTGAGAATATTTGCCAACTCAAGCACCCTTTGGGGTCTAGGTTGACATACTGGAATCCTAAAGCTCTGTCCAGCACCTTAAAGTAACCAAGAATAATCAATTCCCTGACAAACCAAGTTTGAACTTTATGTTAATAAAAAAAAAAAATAAAAATCTGTATTTTGCAGGCAGACATACCTTGACTGTTCTGTGCAGTAGGACTGTGAGATTTGTGTGACAGATGCAGATGATTAAACTGGATGGAAGAGTGAAAATGCAGAGTGCATAGATGCTGAGCTTGGTTGTGTTTGTTTGTAGATATGCAGCTCTGATGAGAGCATCTCATCCCTCCTTCAAGTCCCCGGGAGCAACTGGAGCGCCTTCTAATGGGAATTGTCAGCACAACAGGTATCAGCTGCACCAGGAGAAAAGACAAACTAAAACCAGGCTGGGTGTCCACACGGTGTGGCAGTGCCACTGTCACACCTCTAACTGCTCCAGAGTTGGTGGGTGACCTGTAAATGGTGTTGGGAGTGCAGCAGAGGGGCTCTGACAGCACAGGTAAATCCCTGCTTCTCTACAGTGCAGTGATTAGAGTGGCCTCGTAGATAAAAGCATTAAGGCATCAAATTGTATCTGCAGGTTGGTCTCCCACCTGTTCAGTGGGTTTGGCCAAGTTCTGGGGAAATGGTGTGTCATCAGCCTGAGGAAAACACAGCAAGCACCTGAATTAAAATAAATGTGACTGAAAGTTCCAGTTGTGCAATCCTTACAGTGCATTCTTATGTCTTACAGGTGCAGATAGTAGAGGCTCATCACATCTGGATCAAACCTTTAAAATAAAGTTAATATTTTTCCCCTCTCTTTAAATTTCTATGTAATTAACTTATTTTTGTCATTATTTTGTATGCATTCAATAAACTGTTACCCTTTCCAAGCCAATGTTATTTGTTCCTATAGTTGGAATAAGAGCTTTAATGCTATGAAAAATATTTTATGTAGGAAGTGAGATGATGGTGTTAGGTAGATTACAGTTGGTATGAAATACAGGTAGATTTGCTTAGGTCATGCCAAGCCAGAACTAGGAATCTCCCAAAATGAAAATATGAAATACAAGCTACTCTCATATGTCTCAATCCTTTTGGAAGTGTTCTGGCTCTGCATGGCAAACAACATCTATGTGAAATTTCCTCTTGGTTTGTCATGGGAAGGCCTTTATTTATAAAGCCAAACCCCCTTTTTTACAGGACTTGTCCAAAGGCTAGTGCTCACAGAGGCACGTGCAGTATAATTCTTCTTCATGCATTGTCCCTTAGACAGAAATCTAGATTTGCAGGAATATATTTTGTGGTTTCAAGGTTAAAAGGAAGCCAGAGAAAGTAGCATGAACTGTGTCTTGTGTAATAAGGCCAAAATACAGCATTGTTTAGGGAGGTTGCTCTTGCTGAAAAGCTTAAACAAGTGAAGTGAAGGCAGATAATGCTCCATCTATTATCCTGATCAGCTCTCTTGGCTCTTTAAAACTGCATGAGTATCCAGCTGCTTAGCTTGAGGCCTGAAATATTATAGGTTGATGAAATGGAAATGTGCTGTTAATGAACAATGCTAATTCCCCAGATGGGATCTAAGTAGACCTCTCATCCAGCTAATTGTGAGAAAAATGCCAGGGCTTTCTGATGGTGTCAGGGGGTCAGGACCTCAATTTCATGTGTCATTGGAGCCATTCCTCTGTGTGCTGGGGCTTCTGGGCTGCAGTGTTGGCTTAGGACTAGCTGGAGGGAAATTGCAGCCCCTTCAGTCCCCTGCAGCGCTGCTGAGGTGGGAGAAGCACTGTGCAGGGCAGTGCTGAGCTCCCTGACCTGGGAAAAATCATCTTTGCTGCTACTGTAAGAGATGGGAGTGCAGTTAGTGCATATGCTTTGGACATCCTTGGGCGTGCTGCAGGTGTGCAAAGATTGTTGTGTCTCTTTTTGAACACTTGAATCCTTGGAGTGGGAATTCTGCCTGAGGAGGAAATGTGGATTTTTGGTGCCTCACAGGGACAGATGAAACAATCAATGCCTCCAGTCGCAGGCCTTGTCTAAGAAAGGACAGATGTTATTTCTGCTCAGCACAGAACAAGTATCTGTGCTATCCCATATTTATGTTTGGCCCAGTGTGATTTCTCATCCTGGAGAAGTTTTTGGAGCAGATCACAGCTAGCTGGCCAAACTGAACATGTAAAATAGATATGAGCTACACTGATCATTGCACATAATCTAATTTCTTGCAATCCTGCAGCTAAGATTGTGATTTGATGGTATCTGTAATACTGTGTTTAACCACAGGATGTCACAATAGGATATGCAATAACACAATCTATTTTAGGAAATCTAAACATAGAAAATATTCTTTGCTTATCCATATTGGAGCAAAAGCTCGAATTACTGCTTTAGTTTTAGGTACCGCCACCCTCTGATTATCCTGTGCGCGCCAACACCCTAACTCAGCCTTAGCACACTACTATATTTTATATACATTTTATTATTTTAGTATAATTTCTAACCAGCAGTGATGGCTGGGGGCAGCTTGGTATGGGGAGGAGGGGAAGAGGAGGAAAGCAGAGGTTGTCCCTTCCCATCAGTGCCTGAAAAGGGATGTGTTTGCCAGCAGCATCTGCTCCCACATCCAGCATCTCAGCTGCTGCTGGGATCCAAGCAAAGGGAAACAAGTCTGTCTCAGGTTGTCCTGAAAATAATGTGTCATCTATGTGTGCGTATGTGGTAAAAATTCTGGCCTTTAAATTACCAAGGGGACTTGGAAAAGTTTGTGCATGGGATATTTATGGAAAATGAAAACATGGAAACTGATCTGCTGCCCGGAAATTGTCCTCGGAGGTGTTTTCTGCATCTGTCAAACCACACCCTTGGCCTCTTCCAAGAGACCCCATCGGGACACGGGTACTGCTGTGTCACACTTGAGGATCTTTCTGGATGTGGAGCCTTTAGGATCTGTGGGCTCAAAGGGATTGGAGCCTTTCTCCGGAGAGCCCCATCTCGCGGTGTCCCCAGCCCCATCTCGCGGTGTCCCCAGCCCCATCTCGGTGTCCAGGCCAGCCTGCCGTCGCCGGCTGCCTCGGGCAGCACCGGGCTGGCTCCCACCGGCCGTCCTGCAGTGCAGCCGGGGGCTGCCAGGACACGGGGATCCCTGTCAGGGTGCGAGTGGATCCCTGCCAGGCCCCGGGGACCCCTGCCAGACCACGGGACAATCCGTGCCAGGCCCTGGGCAGTTCCAGCAGGATGCGGGTTGGTCCCTGCCAGACGCACGGCCTGGCCCCGATTTCGGGACTGTCCCAGGCAAAGGGCGGTTTCCGATTTCGGGACCGTCCCAGGCAAGGGGCGGGCCCCGATTTCGGGACTGTCCCAGGCAAAGGGCGGGCCCCGATTTCGGGACTGTCCCAGGCAAAGGGCGGGCCGCGGGCGGAGCACGGCGCGGGAAGCTGACGCCATCCGCGCCGCCAGAAGCCGGCGGAGCGCTCTGCGGCACACGTGTTCCCGGTGGGCGCTTTAACTCCGAGCGGGGCTTGCTATTGGCCATCGGGATGATTGACGGCTCGGCAGCCAACCAGATATCGCTATTCTCCCCGCGTAGCCAATGAGAGGCAGGGGGCGGGCGGCGGCGCCAAGCGTGGGGCTCGGTTGAATGCGGCGGGCCGGCGGCTGCGGGCGGTGCGTGTGGGACGGGCGGGGGCGCAGCCCTGGCTGCCCCGGGGCGGCGGCGGCTCCTCCGCGGGTCCCCTGCCCGCACGGGGCTGCGGGAGGGCCGGGGAGGCTCGGCCCGGCACGGCCCGGCCCGGCCACATGCGCGGGAATAGCTGCGGCAAACCCGGGAGCTGGGATGTGAACCGGGCTGTGTGTGTGCTGGGATGTGAACACATGTGTGTGTGTGCTGGGATGTGAACACGTGTGTGTGTGCTGGGATGTGAACACGGGTGTGTGTGTGCTGGGATGTGAACACG